CACTAAAACTTAGCTCCGGCTCGTAGGTTACCGTATGACTTGACTATCCGATTGGAAGAGAAAGTAGGGTTCAAAAAACACTGTGGCATTTAGCCTAAATCGGTTATGCCACTGTGTTTTATTATTTATATAGTGTTTTATGTGTTTTATTATAAAACACGTGTTTTTTGTGGTTTAGAAACGTGATTATAAATTGATTATTCAGACTCCTCTTCTGGTATACCTAAATAGCTAATTAACTATTCAATATTATTGTTAATATCGTCGGCGTCACTCTTATTATTATTTGCACTATTTATAAGTGCCTTACTATCGCTATCTAATATTATAGCCTTGTTCTCAGCCTCGTTAGGCTCCTCAACCTAGTCCTTTATACGCTCTCGAATACGGAGGTTCTAGTATATATATACCAGTTGTTCAGCCTTCCTAATACTAAGGCGATTACGCCGCTTGCTATAAATAAAGTTAAATACTAACCAGTTCCTCTCCGTAGTACTAGAAGTAGGTGTAATTAAAAGCGTATACCTAGTAAGGTAATAGAGATCTAGCACCTTAGATTAGAACTAGTCCTACTAGTCTATAATATCCATCGCCTCGGCCGTACCCTAAATAAAGTCGTTCTAAAAAGGGGTATTGCGTTATTTAAGTCGAGTAAGGTTATTGAATACCGCGTATACCTTATTAACTATTTTACTATTACGCTTTATAGTTATATCACCGTGTTTTTTATAGTACTTTTCAAGCCAACTACCTATATCCTCTAGCTGAGATCGAGTGATATTGACCGGCCGTTCTTTGCGTGCAACTAGGTCACAAAGATATATAATTGCCTAGATCGGAGAGTACTTCTTATTAAAGCGACGGCGTAGTATTACGAGTACCGCCGCCTTAGGTAGAAGATTAGACTCCTATATATAGGTGGATTCAAGTAGGTGATACTACTAGGCATATATTCGTGACATCTTCGATCGATTCGACTCTATTGTAATAGTTACTTGTAGGAATAGCTTTAGAATATCGACTAATTCCGAGGTTTTTTACCAATAATCGTCTGAAAGTAGAAGTACCTTTATTCGATTATACTTTACTAGTGCTTTAGGCGTAGGATTTAGAGTATTACACTTCTCTTTATTTAGAATTGCAACCTAGATTACGGCTTTATTCTTTAAATCTAATTGAGTAGTGTATAGTTTACCCTACTATCGCGTTTGGCCGGGTAATTAGAAGGAGGATAGCGAGAGTTGGTTATCTTTAGCTATTTTTTCGATATAGCCGAATCGAAGTCCCTTCTTCTACTATTTATTAACCTCAATTGTAAGCTCGAAATGCTCTTTAATTGTATGTAATTTTATTAAATCTTCTACGGTACGATTTACCTAGTAAGCGCCGCAGCCGAGAGTCTTAATCTTTAGGTACTTCTCCTATACCTTATACTATAAAGTAACTATATTACTAGTATTATTAGTTGTAATTGCGGCCAAATTATTAGGTCCTACCTCTTAAATAACCTCATCTATTCTATCTACAAGATATTGTCTAGTATAATTATCAGCTTTAGTATAAACAGTCTTTAGAAAGATCGTATCGGTTCGTAATATAAGAAGGTAGTTTATAAGTAATTGCGACCGTAAATTCGTCCAGCTATTAGTAACTAAAGTAAGCTCGCCTAGGTACCGTTTAATAGCTCTTTTTATATCCTTTTAAAGTAAATTGTATATAGATTCAAGGAATTTATTAGCTAGCTTGTATACGGTAGGTGGTTTATAGGCTGGGCGAATTCGATATAGAAATTTGAGGAAGAGTAGATTATCGGCCTAATATAATTAGTATAAACTACTCTATATAGCAATTAACGTACAATAGATAATAGGAGGCTAGAGCTATATATAAACTCAGTAAATAACTAGTCTAATTCGACTTTATTACTACTATTGACTTGGTCTATCCAATTACTAATATTTCCTTATATATCGGCTCTGGCGCGTTTTGACGAAGAAGTAGTACTAGTAGTACTACTTATCTTAGTAGTACTACTAGACTTAGTAGCCTAGGAGTTTCGAGAAGTAAAGCTTAAATAAGAGCGGTTTAAACGTATTTAGAAGTTCTAATATTCCTCCTATAGTAATTCAGGTAGATTCTTATATATTTTCATATATTTACGGGCCCGAATAGCTTTATAGGACTTCTATTCGGCTCTATAGTAGTTGCAATAGGCTAAAAAATAACGATGACTATCGCGAGGGGTAGTAGTAACTTCTTCCCATACAATATCAGGTCTACGGCCTGGTAGCATAGTGGCGTTGTAGTGTAAAGCCGTATAATTAATATTTGTTGTGTGTATAGAAAAGTAGTTAAGACGAAAAGGGTTATAAACTAGCTAACTATAGGCGGCTATTATTTAATACCAAGGAGTACTCTATACTTATAAATATATTATAAAATCTATAAAACACATATAACATATTGGCCTTTTATGCCACCGAATAAAACACAGTGGCAAAATGTGTTTTTTTCGTGTGTCAAAACACATCTTCGAACCCTAAGAGAAAGAGGGTTGAGGTTAAGAAACCCCTATTTATAAGATTAACCGTATTGCGTCACCACGAGCAAACCAATCGGAAAGGTGGGACGATCATAAGGGTTTTACTTGGATGCATTAGTGGTTTATGTATACGGCGAGTTACTACAGGCTCTCTTTGTATCGGAAGAGTTAGCGCTACTAACACCATCAAAATACACCCAATTACAAGAGCTAGCTGCGTTTCTAACGCCTTTGATTCGCTGAAAAAGTTGCGTAATTAGACCCTTCGCATGCGCCGAGAGCCTGTACGGTATTCTTAAGGAAAATCTCACTTCCATTTAAAATACGCCACTTACAACGTTCTACCGTTCTAGCCGAGGGTTCCGAGCTGTCCTAGACGGCTGGAATAGGTCATCATAACCTATTAGAATTAATTAGGAGTAATAGTTTGACGGGTTATTCGCCATGATGAATCCCATAATGGATTCTTGTGCCCACAGTGTGACAAACGCGAAATGTCAGGCGTGGCTGTTGATTCCTCGGAAAAGCCAGATGCAGCGATAGATCACAAAGCAGCAATAGCACACTGGTCCAACGTCTCCGCCGACAACCATGGCGTTCTAGGTGGCTATCCACAGGTATCACGCGTTGATTTACAAGGCAGTTCCAATTTTCTTGCCAAATTACGAAGGAAATCTACAATACACAAGCCATCCACGCGTTTGTCTCGGACCGTGGACTGCGGCGCAGGAATCGGACGCATCACAGCTGGGTTTTTGAGCAAAATTGCTGAAGTCGTTGATATTGTTGAACCGGTTGTTCAACTGACGAAGGTGATTACCGAAGGTGACCAGTTTAAAGAGCTTAGGAAACAGGGAAGGATCGGGGAGGTATTCAATAAGGGTTTGGAGGATTGGACCCCGTCACATCAGTATGATTTGATCTGGAACCAGTGGTGTTTGGGGCAACTGACTGATGACCAATTGGTTGACTACTTCCAGAGGACCAAGGATAAAGTTACTGAGGGTGGATGGATTGTGGTCAAGGAGAATATGTCAACAGATCCCGAGGGGAAGGATATTTTTGATCCCGCAGACAGCTCAGTGACGAGGTCTGATGGCAAGTTTAGGGAACTCTTTAAACGGGTGGGGTTCAAGATCGTTGCTACGGAGGTGCAGAGGGGGATGCCAAAGGAGCTGTTTCCGGTGAGGAGTTATGCGTTGCAGGTCAAGATGAAGTTGGGGATGAGCAGCTACAAGACTGCCACAAAAAGAAAATAGCAATATTGACTTTCAGGTATGGCAGAACTTGTTCTTAGAGATATGCCTATACATTGCATGTAAGGACAATGGAAGACTGCAAGCCAGGCTAAGATGCTGAAACTCGATGTCCTCGTCGCACATTATTCACTAGCAAGCCATTGCAACGCCGCCTTGCCACGCTCCTACACCTCTCAAAACAAGAGCTGTGCCAAGATATAGGCTCACGATTGCTCTGAAGAAAACGTTCTTGTACCTGACGCCTAATGCAGTAGTGGCTCCAGGGGTCATTTTAGTCGGTTCTTAGCTGCGAGCACAAGCACTGCCAGCAAATACTGCGTAATTGAGTCCCATTATTTTCAGTAAGCTTTCCTTGAACGCCTAAAAATATCTTCAGATGTCTCCAATTTTCTTTTTCCCTGGATTCAGAACCTCATCATTGTTTGGTGGAACCCCCCTTTTGGATCAAACTCCACATCGCCTGATAGCTTTGACTATCCTTTTGCTCGCACTCTGGCAGACAGGTAGGACGTCCCCTCTTCTAGCATATACAGGCTACGGACGACCAGCCTCTGTAGATGGGAGTACTGGGTACGCAGTAAGAAAAAAAGATGGCAAAGGGGAGAGCGCTGCCAACACAAAAATGAAGACCAAGCACACCTCGACTAATCCATAACGCTAGAACAAGCCCGCTCATCGCGACACTGCGTCTGTGTATCTACAAACGTGAAGTCTCAATAGATTGGCAAGGCTGAAGTTTCCGCAAAAGGAATATGAACTGCCCTGCCGAGGATTCGAACCTCGATCCTCCTTGACGACCCGGGTCTAACGGAACAGGTTCGGCAATGGTGCCATTACACCAGCTGGACAAGCTATTGAGTAGCTTTGACCTTTTGACCCGTCATATACAAGACGGATTGGGGTGGTAAGGTAAGTGGGGGGGGGGGGGGCGATTGATTGTAGTAAAGGAGGAAGGCGCGGTGGATGTTCTTCAAAACTTCGGGAAACTAGGACTAACGTGCGCTGTAAGCGAGTAAGGGGAGATGATATAGATATTGAAGTGAATTAGGCCTGATACACCGGCATGAAACCCTGTTCAATACAAAACTAAGTTGACAGGTCTTGGAAGCCTGACGGGCGCGCGAAGAATTGGTAGACGGGTACAAGTACATGGCTGAAACTGTTGCTATTCTATAAACCACAAGCTAAAAGGAAAAAATTGCCCTGCTGAGGATTGGAACCTCAAGCTTCCTTTCTGAAAGTCGGAGATGTTACCATTACACCAGCCGGACAATGTGGTGGGTGGCGATGTATTTGATCCAATCATGTATGAGATGGATGGATTGGTTAGCTATGTGAGGGAAGGTGCTGTCTAGGGGAAGTATGAGGGAGGACCAAGCAACACACCAAGAGAGAAAAAGAGACGAGAAAACAAGGGTGGGGGAAAAGACTAAGATAATCTATGCTAAGCTTATGCAAGACAAATATCATTCGACAGGATATACCAATAACTTGGTGTCAACAGGGCGGCTATTCGGCATTTGCTATGCACTGTTAAGGTTAAGACATTGCAAGTTCTTTGGGCACTTGCCTTTACGGAGCTCGGGTGCCTTTTTCGAGGAAGCGTAGAAAGTATCACCAGTACAGGAGCTGAACAATTCATGGGCCAATCTGTCGTCAGCCTAGTCAGATAAAGATGGAATAGGCAAGTCAGGGCGTTGACGGAAAGTAGACCTGTTGTGCAATGCATAATCACCACTCTGGCAGGCGACCAAAATATAGTCTCATGTCGGTTCTATTCGATTTGGTCTGTGTCGAATGCGGGGATAAAATTTGACGAAGAACGAAGCAACAGGCCCATAACTCAGGGTATACTCGCATGGTGACAATGCAGTGGACATAACCCAAGAATTTTAGATAATCTTCTGACTCGGCTTGACCTTCGCAAGTGGTAATTCTTCACTTCGTTCTTTATCAACAATCTGCTGCTTCCCCTTGATTAATTGAACCATCATGTAATTCATGAAGCATGTAATCCCAAGCTCTTCTCCCCTCTGAACAATATAGCCATTGATGAACTCGATTTCCGTCCTTCGGCCCTCGCGAACATCTCCCAGCATGCTACTGACGTTGTTGCCAGTTTTGTAAGCCACCGCGGTAACGAGAGCCTCCAGTCTCTTAGTAGAGAAGCGAGTTGCCACATTGGGCAAGGACTTCAGCTCTGGCATGGCGAGGATGACCAAGGAGATTTCTGCTAGTAAAAGACGTATCACTCGGGTGAGAGGATTAGTGTACAGTATGGCGCCATTGCGGGCGTCCACGAGGGCAGTTATGGGGTTAATAACAGCATTGATGGCAAGCTTTTCCAGTTGAGCTTGCATGAGCTCGACCGGCGCAGCTGGCACGGCGGCGAGGACTGGCACTCGACAGACTGTCCTCAAAATGTAGCGGGATGCCGTGGACCACCTCTCCATTCCATCTTCTTCACGAGGGATTAGACCCAGGGCGATCGTTCCCATCCCTGCATGCGTTGCTGCAAAACGGCCTTCGGTGGACGGACTGACACCATGTGAGATGATACCGAGCATGTAATTTGGCCGCGTAGTTGGATCTGCGAAGACATCCTTGTTGACCTTTTCTATGATTCCCATGCCGTTCTGGAGGAACAAAATCGAGGAGTTCTTACTTAGTCGTGGCCTTATAGCCAGAAGAGCATTGACGGTCGATGCAGCTTTGACTGTGACTATCAGATTTTGTATAGGATCGGGCAAGTTCTGGTCTGGAAATGGTGCCTCTTGGAATGAATCATCGTGAAGATTATAGGGCGCTTCGTCGGCGAAGAACTGCTCTATTGTCAGGCTTTTGCCATATCTTCGCCATCCACATCTAGCAGGTTCAGCTCCAAATCCGGAATGTGAGACGGTGATACCGTTGGTCGTGATTTTGATATCCTTTTTGGAAGCTTGCCATTCGTAGTAGTATGATGCTCGGTGGAATAGAAGCGTCACGGGTGGGGGGTTTGGCAAACCACGGAGAGAATGGGCTATAAGTTTCCCAACGCTTCCGGTACCAAGTATGTGTATTCGACGCCGTATTTGTCCTCCCGGGCCCTTGGAAGTGCGATGGACCGCGTTGTGATAGTCTTGTTCTGAGGGATCGGGGGTTCCACCAGCGCTATACATTTGGTTAATAGGGAATCATCTGAATGGCGAGTGACACAGTTACGGTTCACTCAACGACGCCTTCTTATGAATGTCGTCTTTTCGTTCGTTCATGCCACGCCTTTTTATGTGTTAGTGCAGGCATGTAAAATACCATCTAGCATGCCGCTGCTGCGGAAGATGTATAACATACGTTCGATTCGCATTTGGACTTCCTATGGGCCGTTCTACCACCGGCCTTGTGCTTTCCGATGACATTTCTCTTTTCAAGTTCCCTCCTACTATTTCTTTCGCTGAACTATACCTGGCCACCCGACCGTGGCCAATGTTACCGCAGAGCCATGCTGTCGAGCTTTCGTGTATTCGAGGGCGAACCCGGAACAGCGGTGTCGCGTGCCTGGAAGACAGTGTGAGTGCGAGTAAAGTTCTCAATTAAATCATTGGACAATGAAAAGGAAGCGATGTCAAAACAGAATGGAATGAGAAAGAAAAGGCGGTTAAGTTATTCTTTGGTTTGGTTTTTGAACTGTCGAGGTCATCGACATCAACATTATTAATATCTTCCTTGGTTTCTTGTGATTGGCTGCCCATTCGACATTTGCTTTCACAACTTCTAACTGGTTCAAAAAGCTTCAAAAAAGTTTTTCAGCAACAAGAACAACAAAAAAGAATTCATTGCACAACAGAAATTCCTCACTATGGACACGGAAGAAGTGCATTCACTGATTGAGGATCTTGACACCAGCATTGACAAGCTAGAAGATGCGCTCAAGCCCCTCCTCGACGTCTCCATAGCATCAACAGCAGCATCCCTTCCCGTTCTCGAAAGAGCAAAACTTTACGTCCTAGTCACATATGCAATCGAGTCAGTATTATTCTCACATGTACGTCTCTCCGGCGCAGACGCCAAGGAGCATCCCATTATCAAGGAATTAGCACGGGTCAGGCAATATTTCGAAAAGATTGAAAAGGCAGAAAATCCTGTGGGGAAGAGGGAGAATCTGAGTCTGAATAAGCCGGCTGCAGGGAGAATCATCAAGGCTGCGTTGTCTGGAAACATCAAATTTGACAAGGAGCAGGAGCGGAAGAAGATGAGGGAGATGGACGGTGCAAGGGTTAAGTTGGAGCAGCTTGACAAGAAGCGCAAGGCGGAGGCGGAGGCGGATGATGATGTTGAGGATAAGGATAGTTCTAGCTCGGGTAATCATGAAGCTGCCACGGACCAGAAGTCATCAGAGAAGGGAAGCAAGAAGAAAAGGAAGCGAGCAAAGGGGGAACAGCACGAGCAAGGCTCATCACCAACGACATCACCAATCAAGAAGAGCAAGAAGAGCAAAAAGTCGAAGAGCCACGGGAAAAAGAGCAAGAAATCCAAGGAGAGCGACTGAAGAGCCTTCATGGCAAGATGTGAGGGATCTTGTGTCTAGTCTAGAGCACCCAAAATGTGCTCTTTTTGGTTTGGCAGCTCCCAATGTAATCGTGAGGCGAAGAGGCCTCGTCCGAAGACGCCCACAAGAGTTTGGCAGGAGGTGCCAGTTTCCAAATAGCATAACAGCCTCTGGAACTTCATCTGAGCCACCGTCCGCAGTGTCAAAATTGGTCCGATTATGGATACTTCTGGCTGCGCATGTTCTTTTTCCGAGAGGTGAACAAGTCACCACTTCTACAGCTCGCCACAGATGGACGTTGTTGTCAAAACGATATTCTAATCAATATTTGTGTCTGTAATGATACGCCCCAGGGTACACAATCAAGGCCTACGATATTGAAGTATACCACTACAGCCGCCCGTTAAATCATGTGTTACTCTTCCATTTCCTTAACCAGTGCATCGATACCTCTCTCGTGCTCAACGTGAAAACCGGTCGTTTTCTCTCGTTATGTAGATACGCACTCACAGCATGAATCTATACAGCTTCCAATTTCCACCGTGAGATGGTTCAGCGACCGGTCCTGCTTTTCTAACCCTCGCCGCCTTCACCAAGATTCTCAATCCAAAGTACTTTTACCTAATCCAATATCTGCACTAATAGTAACATTACATGATCTTGACAGAAGATATGGCAATTCTCATTGCGGATTTGCGCATTCACAGATCGGTACATCACATCATCTCTCCTCCTATTATCCTTCGGTGTCAAACCCTGGTCCACACTTAGCGACGCAGACATATCCAAACTCCTTCCGACCCGAAGAACCCAAATTCTTCATCGAAACCCTCTGACAATCACGGTCTCTACATCTTTCTTTCCGGATCATGAACTCATTCATAATGGAATCACAGAGACCCGAGCTACCCCCAATAAAGTTGCTGCATACGTCGAAACCATGTCTGCTACCTGTGCAATCATTCTTAGCATGATGTTAAGAACAACGGCAAGCCTTGAGACAAATAATTTTGTGTAGTTCTCAGCGCCGCCCTAATAAGGGAGAGAAGGAGTTTGTCCTGCTAATCCTTGGTTTACGCGCAGAGCTTGCCCTGAGCTCAGGATAGATACTATCTGATGCTAATTGGCACTTGCTTTTTTTTCCCCGCTGGGTATTGAGCTATATAAGCCGTATTCAGAGCGGTGGATACGTGCAGAGATAAATCCGGCCTCTGGTGTAATTCATTTGAGACAAGGCCAGCGATATCAGCTAATATAATGTGATACTTTTAGAATGCAGTACTTTGTGATTGCACTTCAGGGAGAAGGGGAAAGGAGTAAAGTGGGTCCGGAGTATGAAGAATTTAGCTGGGATCGTCTTAATGTAAAGCAATAGCTGGAATCCAGCTCAACCCATGATACGCCATTCCAGTGAATGATGGAAAGCACAACGCCTTGCTAAAAACAAATACCGTGAAATGAAAGAGAGAGACCGAAGTGCAGCAAAGTCGGGAAAGCTCAATAGACGGGCTTCTTCTTCTGCTTCTCAGCCTGCATCCTGGCAAGCATCTTCCTCCTCTCCTTCTGCCGCTTGAGTTCCGCTTCCATGGCGGCCTCTTTGGCGTCATCTTTCTTGGCCGCTTTAAGCGCGAGTGCTTCCTCGCGTTCAATATCTGATGCTGCGGCTTCCATGTCGGAGGAAGCATCAGAGTCGTAACCGTCTTCCTCTTCCTCTTCATCCTCAGAGTACACATAGTGCGCACC